CCCTCATGGCGCCGTTTTGCACCTGATGCTTTTTTTTTTCAGAAAGTAAGGGGTGCCTGCATGCATCTCAACCACTTTTCCTTCACTTCCCTCAGCCTCATCTCCTGCCTTTTCCATCCTTTCCTCAGGCCAGTGTTTTCTCCAGTTTCTGATTTTCCCTTCCCATCTTTTTTCCTCCTCTCTGATAGGAACCCAAGTCCTTCCTCACTCCTGCCTCATGTGCCATACTAAAAAAGACCAATAGAGTGGAAACGAAGGCCTGTAAAAGGGAACCATTATCGCCAGATAGCAATTTAGAATGAGTAAAACCCAAGATTTTTCATGGACAGCAAGGAAAGAAGGGATTTTCCTTTTAATGGGAAACAAAATTCTTAAGAATATGAGGACTCATAACACACATAGGTATAAAGGGTTTGGAATAACATGAGAAGCAACTATTTTAGATAACTAAAACCAGCTGGCATGTTTGAAAGCACCCTGGCTGAGGCCATGGGTTTTGTGTTGGAATATAAAGGGCACATGGATCATAACCGGTGCTAAACGTGGCTTTAGAGGAGTCACAGAGACAATCTGCACTAGGCAAACAAATAGCAGGCTGCTTTTTTTTCTCTTTTTAATTATTAGTTTGGGTCTTATCCCAGCTTCTTTCCACCCACTGTGCGTGCAGGGACCAGGATAGATAAGCAGCATCTTCTGCCGACCACAGGGCCGGTTCCTTGTCCGTATTTAACCGTGCTTTCCGTAAAGAGAAGGGGAGCAGAAGCTCCCTCTTTTGTGTGCGGACGTCGGGCGATGCGCCTGGCCGGGCCCTTCCCCGCGCACCGCCGCATATCAGCGAAATAGAGAACTACCCACCCAAAGCCGGCGTGTTCGAATAACTGCTGAACTCACCCTTAATTACCAAGTGAACAAACAACCCTTTTTTGCTGCTCTTTTGGGGGGCTGCAGCTATTTATATTGAAATCAGAGCTTTCTGTGCCAATCGCCGTCACTTTGACCTCTCGGGAAGTGCCGCTACCTGTTCATTTAGCAGCAAGAGACAGCGGCTCTTAGGTGGAGATGCTGAAACAATAGCACACGTTTCCAAAAGCTGTTTTGAAAATTAATTTTTAATGCATGGCCTCTGCCCTGACTTCACTGTGTGAGTATAACCCGTGGGTATAAACAGCTTCACTGACCTGAATGGATATTTTTGGGCAAAATAGCAGACAAGAATCACTCTTTTAGGTAAATATTTATCTAGGTATGATTTAATATCTGCAAATTCCTTTTCATTCCTTAGACTTTATACTAATAACGGCATTTTGAAACATACTTCTCCAAGCGGAATTTAGGGACTAGCGCTTTTTGATCGTTTGAATATTTATTTCCCAAAGGCCTCCGTGGCCTAGAAACATCCAGGAAATATTTTCCTTCCTAAATGGCCTTGCGCAGAAGTCGACTCGCTCAGCTTTCTAAGGAGCGGAAAGTCTCCCCCCGTCTCGCCGAGCTGCTGGGTAGCAACGGCCCCACCAGCCGCCCCTAATTACAGCACGCACACCGTTGGGTTCGTTAGTGTAAGGCAGCTGTCGGCAGGGCTTGACGCCATGGGGTCGGCTCTTTTATGCTGGGTTTCCCCTGCTGAGACTTTATAGACTTGAGCCCTGTTGGTCTTTTCTGTACTATAAGGTTATGGAGTTTCCCAGTAATAATTCAGTCATTGCAATAGGCTGGTTTCCTAAAAGCATAGATCTACGGGCTGAAAAATAATTAACGCACGAACAGAACGTCCAAGTTAAAGAGTGGAGAAAGCCATTTTAGTTTGTTCTTCTTGAAACCAGTCTTGCACTGCAGGCTTTCATTGTTTCTTTTTTAACTTAAGTATCTCTGTATCTGTAGACACCCGATTGCTATTAACATCGGTATTCAACCGACGTAGGAAGATGAAATCCGCAGTAAATTTTACGATATGTTTACATTATAACAAGGTTTATAGCAGCATCGTAACTCATCATGTATTCCAACAGAAGTATGGATCGCTTCCAATTTAATTTTCTGAAGTTAGGGTTTGCAGCTGGGTCACTCCCGGTGTAATCTGCGAAACGTATCTCCTAAGGCTGCGAATTGGAACAACAGCAGCCCTGCTGTCACTGCAGCCCATCCTTTACTGCGCTCGGGGTCTGAGGGCAAAACATCAGCATCACTTTATGTGGACACAGCAGCATAGCTAGCTTCATAAATTTTGTTGCAAGGAGCAATAATCAATACTTCATGTTTAATGACGCAAAACTGAAATTAGTATAGATTTTATGTCTTCTTCTCTTCCAAATTATGCAAACATTACTAGCCCCTTTTGTCGTTGCCTTACATTACAGCTTTTATAAAGACTGTCCAGTGATGTTTAATTGAAAGATTGAATAGTCAAAAATGTCACAACCAATTTTACTTTTTACTTTTTTTTGTTCAGTCTTCACCCTTAGGTTAATAGAAAATGATGTCAAACACAAAAAATGATTTATGTAAGTCATGCAGGTTTTGTCACCCAGAGCTATATATAAAGTCAATTGCAAATTGTTTTCACATTCTGAATTACCTTACCTAGCTCTGGGATATGTTAAAAAAATGACCGGTGGAATAATATGGGAAAGTAAAAGGTTATCTTCTGCGCTGAACTGTACTTCAGAGAAAACAATTTTGGAAGGTTTTCTGGGTCGGTTTGTTTGTTTTTAATATGCAAGAAGAGCATATTCCTCAGAATGGGCCAAGGAGTCGTTCTGAATCGGCCGCGGCACTTTATCAGCTTGTGCCTGTCAACAAAACAGGGCTACAGTTAGAGACCCAGAGGGCCAAAAACTGGGGCAAAGAGAGGAAAAATCTGACTTGTCCTCTTGACAAATCTAGTTTATGCATAAAACGTATTTGGCAGTAACAGTCCTTCCAAGGCTGTGAGGAAATGAGAGTTGTGTTAGAAGTAAATCAGCTACCAAGTGTGAGCTTGTTTCATGCTAAACGGTGTCGAACCTTGTACGAGATTAAAAAGCACCGTGTAAAATGCCTCTGTTCCACAATATCAGCTTTATTTGAAAAAACAGAAGGTAGAGTTGGCTGATCTGCTGTGCTCATAAAGATGACAATGGTTTTATTGGAAATCAAAATGCTTGATTTATCCCCCGACCAGACAAAGTGAGGACATTTCCCTCTTGTGCATCTTGTCTGTCTTTCTAATGTTCTTAACCTTCGTGAGGAGCACGTATCTGTACATAAGGTAGGTGCAAAGTAAATTACTCCTCCTTCCGTATTCTGATTAGCCTTTGTTTTTTATGCTTGACTCCCAACTTCAGGAGCCACAAGAAGACAGGAGCTATGCTTGCTGCATAGGCTTCTCATCTTCCAGGCATATGCCATGTCTCTCAGGACAGCAGCGCTAGTTATGTTGCACTGCAAGGATACGATCTGGGCATTTGGGGGTTTGGGGCTTTTGAGGAGACCAGGCGTGCATGGGCACCCCATTAACGCTTGGCTGTGGGACGGCTTTGCATGGGGGTCCCCACACAGTGGGGAGCAGCGCCGGGCATCCCAGCCCCAGGAAGTGCGTCACCTGGAGAGCACGCTGCCTTCGGGCCAGCCCGTTGCTCGATGCGGAGGTGCGGGGAGGGAGGTGCGCTGGCCCTGAGGTTTGCAGATGTGTGTGACTTTCCTCTGTAGTCTTACAAGGGGGGGCTGTATGCCGGGGATGCCCCTGAGCTGGGGAGCACAAGGTGGGGCCCCTACGAGGAGCAGGCATGTAATATTGCGAGTACCCATGTACCATGGAACAAGGCCCATCCTCTAGGACCTTCTTTCTTGTCACTTGCCATGGCAGGAGCCACGTGACAGCATTACCCCTTAGAAATTCTAGGGCAATATGCTTCTTCTACATATTATAATCCAGAGCTGGAGATGCACCCTTATAGGTAAATTATGTGGGACTGGACAAGATGGCCCTCTCCATCGGTGGCTTTGTGGGAAAGCCATGCCTGGCGTTGCGGGAGGTCTTTCCACAGTTTGTTCTGGGATTTCTGTTGCTGTAATGAGAAGAGGAAGAACAGAGCCATGTTTCAGCACAAAAGCTAGAGATAGCGTTGCTCAGGTTTCCCTTTTGGTAAGCTCATGTCAGTCTTAGTCAGAGGCCTAATTTGTCTTCAGATTACTAGTCAGTCTCCTCAGAGCTACCTGGAACCTTTTCGGTGGCCCATGGATATGTTTCAGTGCCAGGAAAATAAATTAATACAAATTACAATCGGCTTTAAAAAGTTGGGGTTTTCACCTGTTTTGTTTTCAGCTTCATTTCCTCGCCGATTACGCTTTTCAATTTTAGGTCGATTATAGGTCCTTCCCCCCACTCCCACCCCTTCGGAACAATAAAACTTGTGCCGATCAGAAATGATTTTACCTTTTAAGCCATATCTGAGTGCTGAAATTCATGGCTTGATTCTTCCTGGCCCTTTAGCGTGGATGTAAGGAATCCTAGCTCTGCATATAGGGGGTTAAACTTGTGGCATCTCATCTGTTGAGAACAGGATCTGATGCAAGTACATTGGTGAAGACATCAAGCTATACATCTCAGCCAGTGACTCTCTTAATTATGAAACTGAATACTGTTTGATTGCAGAACAAAGAGAAATGTCTGGAAGTGTGAACTGCTACTCGCTTGTCTCTTATCAAGACCATCTCTCAAATCAAAGCGGCCACATACCTAATAAAAGAAAAAATGCTTCCCTCTTTTTCACTTTTGCTCTGCCTAGCATTTTTTGTAGGTCTGGTATTTCTTTTCAAAGTGATGCAGTGGACATACTGATAAATATATTGGCCTCTTTATATTTATTTTGGATGTATAAATTGCAAAGCAATCCTGTAGACGTTACAGGAGGGAACGTTTTTGTTTAGTGGCTAGCTCACAGCGCTGTGAGGTCGAGGGCAAGCGTCCAGTCTCAAACAAGGGGTCCCACCAGCACGCTGAAATGTTGTTTCTCTCCTTGTAGGAAGAACTCAAAAGGCTCCAGAACACCTTGGAACAGGTCAATGATGGCAAATATTTACTTCAAAGGTAAATCTGAGATTTCACATACGAAATGGCGTTTATAAGGCAACAGTTATTTGTTCCTCTAGCGCAAGTGGCCTGGAGAGGGTGACAGCGGTGTTGATCCTGTGCAAGGAGCTGGAGCCTGATCCGACAGACTCGGGGCATGGGGTGTCTTTTCTGAGCACAGTCAGGTGAAAAGATACAAAACGTGATCCAGCAAAAGCGGCCGCTCAGTTCAATGGCCTGTTAGATGGTTGCCTGTGACTGCTTTCTGAGGGGCTGTCTTTCAGTTGTAGACTGAAAGTTGTAGACTGTTTTTTGCTTGGTAATATACTGAATCTTTGAAGATTTTGTCTCTCTCCCATGAATGATTCTTGTTTTTAGTTACAGGAGGATAATTTCTGAAAACTGCTGCTGATTGAATGATGTAATTAAGTGGCCAGTAAAGTCTCAAAATAACTCCACAGGTTGGGGTCTCATCTTACAAATTTTCATGTGAAGAATTGTCATTCATGTTGCTAGTCCCATCCAAAGCAACGTCCCAAGATATTTGATTTTTTATCTTCTAGCATTTTAAAATGGCTTTCTCAAAATGATCAGTTTGCAGCACCAATTCCTTGGTCATCTTTTATTACAAGGAATTTTTTTCTTCATATTCTTGTATGGCTTTTGCTGATGTAATTCATTTGCTACCAGCATTACTTATCATTACTTTCCATTTTACTCTCCAGCTTTTCACATCTAGCCCCAGGGGTGACAGTTAATTTAGCAAGAATATCTATTCTATTTGCTAGCGTTTTTTATTTGCAGCAGCTTCTTTGCTGGGTGTGCCTGTCTCTGGAGCTGTGGCATCTGGGAGGTTTAGTGCTGAGATTTGCAAAGAACGCAGGCAGGCTCCAGTCTGGAGACTGGATTCAAATTCCGACTTTTGGTTAACAGTCAAATGGGGCTGAACATGGGGACCCGGATGCCTCCCTCCAAAGACAGCAACACCATTAAATAAGCAGTTCATGTATGGTCTTGTCACAATTCCTGAATTAATTTGCAGTGATTGCAAAAACGTCATGCTGAGACACACTGCAAGCATCTTTTTTCCTCTTTTGTAGCCATCAGCTTGCCATGGATGAGGAAAATAACATTGAAAAATATCCTATCAACTTACAGCCCTTGGAATCAAAAGTGAAAATGTAAGTAGCAGCCAAGACTGTTGTTTCTCTGTTTGAACGCAGCTGGGATTGCTAGATTCCAGAACCGTGGAATCCAGGCTGTATTCACCTGGGATTTCTCTGTAACTTTAAGTATAGAAAAGCCTTAATTTAGCAAGACCGTTAAGCTCTCATCTACCTTTAAGCATGTGAATATTCCCTTTGAATTGAATTTCAGGTGTTAAAATTAAATGTTACGCTAATTTTGTTATTTCCTCTGTAAAACTAGAGAATGTCTGAGAACCTGCCAGATTTTTCTCATATAAAGAGACCATCCCAGAAGGAGAAATCACAGTAGAAATCTCTCCAGTGGTATTTTTCACAACAGAGAGAAAATGAAGCCCTGGTCAGAGTTCCTTAGGGAGCTTCACGAGACTCCTCTGCAAGGGGGAGCCTTTGGTTTCGCACTAGGAGGGAGACATAAGTCTAAAGGGACCAGGGCTCCTGGACCAGAGAGCGCAGCATAGTTATCTGTACTAAGCAAGCTCTTCCTTATCAGAAATAAAGCATTCAGCCGGGGTGCTATAAATACATAACATGTAGGTACAGCACCTGGGAGGGAAGAAACAGGCAACTCTCTTTCTTTTGGAAATAGACTCCCGCCGCTTCCCAAGCGTAGTAATTGCAGCCTTTGCAACACATTTCCCGCTTGTGTTCAGTTATTCTAATAGTCTGGATTGGGCTGGATGAGGGTACACAGTAATACCAGCGGTGTTAACTTACATTTCATAACTTAAAGCTTATCCCTGTGTCTGTCCGGGCAGAGAATTCCACTTTCGTGTCCGCTCAAATGGGGTCCCCTTCATCACCGAACTTTTCCTCAGACAAACTTAACTTGCGGCAAAAGACATGGATGCCTTTACACTGAAGCCGCAAACTATTTCCAGGCAAAATTCTGTGACATCAGGCATAGGATGTAGCTTTACATGGAGAATTTTATTCATTGCTACGTTTCATGTTGAATTTCATTTTCAGTTAAAAAGCTACAGCTAACTTGCTATAAAGGATGTTAAAATATTAATGCTGTATTAAAATATTAAACGGACATGAAGTTTCAAATTAAAATCCAGCCAGTGCCTTTTAGTCATGCAAATATAAGCCAGATGAAAGAATAAATTTTCAGGGAGCTTTCTGGAAGGTAGTTATGCCTTAGACTCAGTATCGCCTCATGCTTTAAAATGGAAAGTACATGTAAATAATAAATATGTAAATACTCCATGTAAATATTATGCAGTAAAGCATGAAACTGAAATAATGCAAAGTATAAATGCTTCAGGTGTGCAGTTGTGATTTTTTAAATCAAAATGCATTTACTGAAAGCTCCTTCATTGACATTCACATTTGGGAGCTTTAGTGGATATTTGTGTCCCTTTTAAAGCTGTTACATGGAGACGACACGGGCCTCGACCTGCCTCACTAGCTCTACAGTGTACCTAGCCTGGTGATGCTGTGACAGAGGCTATTGTGTTTCTAATCTTGTACTCTTTTAAAAAAACAAACAGAAATATGTATTTGACTTCACTGGGCCTTAAGATGCCCCAGATGCCCTCTATTTGGGGAACTTTGCTCCCTGACCTGCCTGAAAAATCACATCGCAAGAGGTGCCTCCCACTGCCTGTAGTTCCTGGCACTCCAGAGAAAGGCCAACGAGAAGCATTCACATCCTG